ATTGAAAGTGATGGTGCCAGTAGATTCAGTATCATCGAAAACATGTATTTTCCTGTTTAGTTTACATTCATTCAACATGTGAAAAACCATGTTATTCGGTATCTTGCAAAATCTATAACTCTTCAAGGAAAAGATCAAATGATGTAAAAATTTTATGAACGATAGAGCTAGAACCAGGCTACACTCTGGTGTAATTTGAGTCTATATTGCTATAGAAACTATGGAAGTAATGTATCGAAAAAGATATTCGTTTGTAAAAACATATCGAAAAATTTTCCAATCACAATGGCTCGCATATAGCTAGACGCTTCCTGCGCCGCTCTATCGAATGACCAAAAGCCGAACTCGATAGCTATCAATAGTGAAGAATTATTCAAAAAATGGCGGCTTGCATTTTAAAAAAATCCGACAATAGTGCTTCTAATATCCTGTCTTCAATGCCGCTCATCCTTTCAGTAGAGGGTTAGCAGCGTTTGCGCTGCATTACTTGTGTCAGTTTTACACACTAATAAAGTTCATGACGCATATATGCGTCGGCGACGGTTAAGGGGTTGAAGATAGTGAAACTTTGAAGCCAAGCAAGCTTCTTCTACACGAGGCACTCTCGTTGTATGATGCGATATTAGCTTGTTCGTACTCGAATCAACGTATTTCTTATCTATGTGACCGACAACACTCAAATTTTTTATCAATTCTTTTCAGATCTCTTACTTGCGACAGTTGTGCTGCGATCCGTACGCTGTAATGGCGGCCATGTCTGAACTAAACAAACCACCGTTCTCTGGCGAATCATTGGGCTTAACAGGAAGAGTTTTTATAGAAGATCTGACCGACAATGACCAACCAAAAGATTTACAAAACTACTTATCACAGTTTGGAACGCTAAAAGCTTGTAATATAAATCAAGGTAGGAATACATACTCGTTATTTCTGATTTTTTGAGCAGCTGAATCGACTCTTTTATACTGGATGTAGTTCTATAGGCTCAAAACATGTTCTTTTCGAAAATGACTATGCCGATGTACTATAAAAATACCAGAAATTCAACTCAAAAAGTCTTTTTTATTTGTGACACCGTATCAGCATTGTAGCATCCCCAGTGCTTTATCTACTGGATGGGCCGGGTTGGCGGTGCCCACCCGAAATTTTGATTCGCCCACCCGAAAATTTCGGTTCGCCCACTCGAAAAACGAAACTTAGATAAAACATTGAGCGTCACTTATAGAGTATCAATGCTTTCTTTATAATAACTGTAATGACAAACTATCTGAATTTTGAATTATATTCATAAGACCTTAGTAATATCATTCATTAAGTGCTTTAGTTTGTTTTTGCTATTGCACTCAAATGTACCATAATTGAGTCTAAATAAGCATTGAATAGGACGAAGAAACATCTAAGACAAGAGTAGTTTTATGTAATAATCTGCACTTACATTTCTCCCGCAACTGACATTTCAAGTTATACTACTATTGAAATCTTATTTTTCTTTGTAGAAAACAATTCAGCACCACATGGTGTTGCCCAGTATCAAGAACTGAAATCAGTCGATAATCTAATGGAAAAGCAACATCGTCCATATATACTGAACGGTCATGCTATTTATATATATCGAGAATTGCGAGGAATACCCAATTTCAAAACCCTTAGAACACATAGAGACATACATGTATTATCTTTTGGGGGAAGAGCACCAAATGGCATACCGGACAATGAATTAAATGATCACTTTACCCAGTATGGTACAGTTCTCAGTATCATACCAACAGGAAATGATATAAAAATCACTTATGACGAGTAAGATTTTTAATACTATACGGTGAATCTTATTTTTGAAATTGTCGCTTTTAATTTTAGTTATGATTCGGTAGACAAAGCAATTCTGGCCAATCCTCATACATTTAATGGGACTCCATACAGTATGGAGAAGTGTTTAAGCTCAGCCGCAAGTACCATCGATGCATATACACCAACGTCAACAGCATCCAGTAAGTTTCCAATTTATCAAACGGAGCTTTCAGTTAAATTCCTGTGACTACAAATCAAGGATCATACAGTGTTGCACGGAGTGGTATTCGCAAACGACAGCTTTAGAAACTTCTCAGTTATAGCATCCATCTGATGACCGATGAAAAATTTAATTCGAGTGACGAACAGCTTCGATGAGAATAAGGACACATGAAGTTCGGAAGGAACAGGAAGGATTATAAGAGTTCATCACGTAAATGAACTAGATATTACCGATCGAAGACTATGTTTATTTCTCAAATAAGACGTTCCACAAGCCTCTATAAGTTTGTTTGATCGAGTAATTCGTACTTCAGTGTTTAAGAATCTTGAGGAAGATTGAGCGTAAAATGTCGCACAAATTTTTTTATTTATAAACTTTCACCTTTTGTTTTGATTCTTTGTACAGGTCTATTTCTCCCCATTTACAGTGGCTCCAAAAATTATTCATACAGGTGTAATTTCGACTTTTTTCCGGAATGGTAACTCGCATTAAGAATCCAAATAGTGGTTTGGATAGAGAAAATTGTTTCCAATAAAGATCCCAGAAAGATGAAATTCTTATATTATTCCCTAAAACCAGGATCTCTAGAAAACCAAAACCCTATTTTTTCGGGGTCTGGGTGCTGAAAAAATAGAGTTTTGGTTTTCTAGAGATCCTGGTTTTAGGGAATAATATAAGAATTTCATCTTTCTGGGATCTTTGTTGGAAACAATTTTCTCTATCCAAATCACTATTTGGATTCTTAATGCGAGTTACCATTCCGGAAAAAAGTCGAAATTGCACCTGTATGAATAATTTTTGGAGCCACTGTAAGTTGAATGGTACTCTTCACGTCTGAATTTCAAGTATTTAGTTGTACCAGTCCAAAGAACTTTTTTAATCACGAGAAAAAAATCGTACAACTAAACATTTTTTTAAACCTATGAATATATCGCTCCTCTGGTACAATTGTTAGACTAGCATATAAACAATTACTTCTAACACTATTTATTCGTGTATTTCCATCAAAAAATAGACTTAACAGCACTTGCCACACCACAACATCACCGAAGTGAGCCCGCAATCGTAAACACAAAACATGCTGGATCAAATATCGATTCACGACATTCCACAGGTCACGATGCAGTGAAACTATCATCCGTCAGTTCTGATAGTTTGAGTCAAAGCTCACGTTGCATCACTCAAGTGGATGATCGATCAGATGGAAATGCGGGTCGAATATTTGGACATGCCATCAAAGATGTTAGACTACAAGGTAAAGAGATTAAACGTACATTTCCTAAACAATGAATGACTAAATTCTGACTTGTCTTGAAGCGAATCCTGATTTACCGAACGATGTTCCACCGGAATGGACCTCCAAAAATTCGCAGTCGGGGGAAGCAGGTGGTCAAGGTGAAGTACGCATCGTATATTACAAAAGCAACTTAAAGCAACTAGCGGCAATAAAAATATATTCAGTCGCAGATAAGATAAAAAAGAATAACAAAGTTTTGGAGGATTATTATAAAGAGCGACGAATGCGTGCTCATCGCGAATTAACCGCTTTAAAGACATTGCAAGGTAAAAGTTGTTCTTGCTTTCAGCCTATAGACAACTCACATAGAAATTGTACTTTGTTAGGTGTAGAGAACATTAGTCAACTAACATCTTATTCGAGTGACTTTACAAACATACCAGATAGTGAGGAAGATGCTGTCGATGACAAGAGACTATACTGGATAATTATGGAATATATCGATGGACGCACTTTAGAAGACTTTGTGCACAAATTTGGAGAAATAGATTTGCTCAATGCGGTTAAATTAACTCAGAAATTGCTTTTAACTATTAAAAAAGTTCATGCTAAAGGTGTTGTACATCGCGATATAAAGCCGATTAATCTGCTGGTTAGTTGTGATGTAAATGCACCAATTGAAACAGCTGAAATTTATGTTATTGATTTTGGATTATCATATATCGAAAATCGTGAAGACGATGTTGATTTAACTTCATTTGAAAAGAAAGAAAAATACGAACAAACATGTTTTGGTGCTACCATAGGTAATTTTTTTTTCCGTGTTCCACAACTGAATTCAGCATCAATCAAGCAAATGACAGCAAAAGAAAAGAATGTTCTATTAGATGTTCGTCGTAGTCCAACAATTGATGCTTCGAGCATTTGTGCGATACTATTCTGGTTGATAACTAATATTGAACCAGGACCTAAGATTCGAGACGAGTACAATTTGGCTCCGCATCAAAATCAAAAAGCGGAAAGCCAAATTATGAACAAAATTGAGGAAGCAGCAAACCAATCAGGTATGTGTAAAATCATCAGAATTGAATATGTATTGTATATCACAGACATGCACCTCCTCTAAGATTATATTCCAAGAGTAAATTTTGATTTCAGGTATCACGAAAAACTTGTTACCAAAATTAAAAATGCAATTGACCAATTATCTGATGTCAACCTTTGATAAAGGCTTTGAAAATGCGGAGCATCAATGGACGGTTGATCAGTTAGAATATCGTTTAGAATCAATTCGTCACCTGCTTCAACCAAAAACGACCTCACTTGATCAACAATTGAGTGATGCTACAAAAAGTTTACTTTCATTTGAATCAGTCACCACTGTTCCTAATCTTTCTCCAATTGAATTGAAATTCCATAAAATCTCACTTGCATATGAATCTGCCAAAGCTAAGTTCATTGCGCAACATTCCTCATGTTCATGGTATGATGGACATTGTTGTTGGTCGGAACATCAGCAAGATATGACTGAGCGGAAAAACCACGATGTATTATCTTATCAATATAAGAAAAAAAATTGGATGTTAATCATTGTTTGTTCTGTTCATTTTGATGATAATGGGGACATATTCACCTTGGCAGTGGGTAGTGATTTTAATGGTATTTATGTAGAATTACCATTAGGACGACACACTCCTCAAGAACTAAACAATTTAAATATTGAAGTTGAATTTGAAAGAGAATTAATTAATCTTTTACAAATTATATCTAAACCAAAACATTGAAGAAACGCAGGATTTTTCTCTTTATCGAATTAGTGATTGATTATACGGTTGTTTGCTGTTCTAGCGATTTTTAGCACTAGATTTTTCTTAATTGTCTGCTTAATTATCTGTGTGTTGCATCGGTAATGTTGTTCATTTCCATTTGATCGAAACGATCTTACCAGTGTTGTTTATCAAAAAATAAATGTTCATAAATTTATTTCATGTCTCGCTGAAGACTAGTCAATAAAATCAAATTATGGATGATGCCATGTTTCTTTTTTTTTACTTATTTTCTAAGTGCAATTTCGGATGTGGGTGTGAGTGTGCGTATGCGTGTTAGCTTCAGATCCACACCCACACACACCCTGAAATAAAAGTTTTCAGAAATTGAAAATTCGAATATAAAAACTCCATTTTCCTAAAAAGCTAATTTCGCAATCAGAACTCATCGGAAACCGAGCTTTGAAAATTGAGATAAAACAAAGTCATTTGAGTAAGAAGAGTTTGAAAGGTTTAGGCGCGGATAGATTTCGATATCTGTATAGTACTTCTTGTCACATTCATCAAACTCACCCAGACACTCGACTGTTTCACATTATGCTCTAAGAGTATTTTTTGAAAAAAGAAAACAGACAAATAGTTCTTTTCCATTAAATCTCTAAATTATTAAGCCTGTAGACTGAAATGAAGATAATTTTATTGTGTTTCAATCGTTTCTTATGAAAATGATAAGGGACTCTTATCATAATCGAGTTAAATCTGTTTGTCTGTTTAATAAATACACTTTCGCTTTCATATCATAACTTGTGTTTATCTAGTATTTTACTTAGTCCATGCTTATATCTTGATGAACCTATATGCATATCTCTATCCTGTCAGTATGTGTCCAAGTAAATCGAGTCTCGATGAAAGTTACTTGTTAATCTATTTGACAGGAAAAGCTATTTATGCATAGACTTGTGACTAATATGATTTTCCTACCATATATAACCATTTAAAATGAAGTTCTATTTGCAATAAAGACAACAAACTGTTTCCATGTAAAAACTCTTGTTATATGGAGATAAGAACATGATTGGTTTGATTATTGAGTTGTATGATTTAATAGTCGTACTGATGTTAGAGTTCATCTTTGTTGGACTCACACAAAAAAAAAAAAGATTTGTTCTTTTTTGTGATCAACTTACACCATTTATCAAGTGCTATGAGTATATATAAACAACTTCCAAAAACAAATGATTCATCTAAAGACATCAACTGAATAATGAAACGAAGTTTTCATATATCATCAGTTATTAAAAAGCTTTTTTATAGATTAAAGAAAAAGAATATTTTCTCATATTAGAAAAAAAATGAAAGACACAAATGAATTGATAGCTTTTTTTATCCTAATAATGTTCACAAAAATCACTGTAGCCATTTTCCAATCGTATCACTAATTGTTTGACGAGCTTGTTTTAATTCTGCTGGATCCCAGTCTGCATCTGGATACATATCAGCACAATGAGCTGTGCCTAAAA